TGAAGATGAAAATATTTTTAAAAGCAACACTTGAAAACTATGTCTGATGAAGTGAGCTTGTCCACAAAGCTCACATTTAAAAAATATAAAAGTTAGTCTTTTTTGTCTTATTCAATTCTTTTTTCAACTTTATTTTCACCTATAAAGCCTGCACAGACTAACACGACTACCCCTTCTACAACTACTTCTTGAAAAATAGTTTACTATTGTCATTTCAAAACAACTAGGTAGCTCTCCAGCTGAGCAAGGTCACTGTACCATAACAACATGACAACATGTTTATGCTACAGCTTGTAAGTTACAAAGTTAATAAGTCCTGAGGATGTAGACAAGGCACTTGGATGCTATAAAGCTACAGTACTGCATCTTCTTCAGATCCTTGTTTGTCATGGTTATTAAAATCTGCCAAGGTTAAAATTGTAGAATGAATGAACCACATTATCAATGCTTCTCTTCAGGAAGGTCTTGTTTAAAATAAGCTATAATAAAGCCTATTCTTAAGAAAACAAATTTGGCAACAGATAATTTGAACAACTAAAGACACATCTCATATAATCCTATCTTGGGCAAGGTAATTGGGAGGGTGGTAGCTGATCAGGCATTCTTGAAAGATACTGATCACCTGGATACGTTTCAATCAGAGTTTAGGCTGCAGTACTGAATGCTGCAGGGTCAGAAGGCCAGCAGTCATAAGATCGAATCCAATGGACTGAGTGAGCTCCCGTCGCTTTGTCCCAGCTCCTCGCTAACCTAGCAGTTCAAAAGCATGCAAATGCAAGTAGATAAATAGGGACCACCTCACTGGGAAGGTAAAACGGTGTTCCCTAGTCACGCTGGCCCCGTGACAACAGAAACTGTCTTTGGACAAGCGCTGGCTTTACGGCTTGAGAAAAGGGATCAGCACCACCCCCTAGAGTCAGACACGATTGGACTAAAAATGTCAAGGGGAACCTTTAGCTTTACCTTTACCTTACTGAATGCTATACTGAAACAACATTGGTCACCCTGCAAAATGATCTCCAAAGGGAAACGGTTGGTCCTCCTGGATTCTTCTATGGTCTTTGATACTGTTGACCACTGAATCCAGATAAGACAAAGGTCCCTGGCTGTGGCCAAGATTTTTTCCTGGTGATCTATAGAGTTCTGTAAGATGTTCAGGGATATGTTCAAACATCAGAATCCCTGACCTGTGCCTGTAAGCTTAGGCAGATTTTTGAAGAGTTTTGGTATGATTGCACACAATATACATCACACAAATGTTCTTTCTTTAAAAGATTGTGCAGTATAAATTCGCTGATATAGACATGACAATTTCACTGACAAAAAATGAGTAAGAAACCAGTTTTTGTTTGTCAAACAATCAGAGCAGACAGTCAGGAGTTGAATGCAAATACAGTGGTGCATCGCAAGACGATGTTAATCCGTGAAAATTGCTGTCTTGCGAAAACATCGTCTTGCGAAATGTGGTTCCCCAGTGAAATCTATTTAATGCGTTCCAATGGGGGAAAAATCATCATCTTGCGAAAATTGTCCATTGAAAACATCGTCTTACGAAATGCGGTTCCCTATTGGAATGCACTGAAATCTATTTAATGCGTTCCAATGGGAAATAAACCGTCTTGCGAAGCATCGGTCTAAAAAAATCTTGTGAAGCATAGACCCAAACATAGTCTTGCAAAAATCGTCCATAGGAAAAACCGTCTTGCAAAGCGCAACAGCGATCGCAAAAACCGATCATCTTGCGGATTAATCGTCCCGCGAGGCAATCGTCTTGCGAGGGACCACTGTATATCAATGATCCAATATTGCCTCTAACTTCTATGCCATTATGTACAAACTTGAAAATCAACTTCAAGGAAAGATCAGTGTAGCATATTTGAGCCCTCCCATGAGATGAAATTAGGTGTCTCAAATATTCTCCAATTCCCTATGTCTGTTTTGAAAAGAAGCACATTTCAGTGTGACTAAATAATATATACCTTAAAAAAATGAACTTGTGATACATTCTTGGTGCGCTGTTGCTATTCAGAATATTTTTCATCCCTTGGCTGCTGTTCTCTTCCAACTTTGACTTCATTCTCCCAAGCTTCTTTCCCCATATGGCTGTTTAATTTGATTGGCAGAATTAACCCACATTGTTCTATTTGCAAGCAGTCATGATATAGTATCAGGAGTATGCCATCAGGTCATTAACAAAATCACATTGATGACCATACCCAGAAGGAATAAGTAGCAATGTGTTGCAAGCAAAAGGATGCAAGGCCAAAGAAGGAGGGAAATGGCACAGAAAGGTACAGCATTTAACCAATATGAACAGTTACGGATTTTAAAAAATGCTGATTTTTAAATTAATCATGAAAACAAATGCAAAGCAAGATAAGGGATTTCTGGGTGAAATGGCTTACTTGCATCCTATTTAAACAACCCTCGGACCTGGTTATGAAACCTCTTTGATAGCTTTGATGAGTAATTTACACCCATTTGAAGCAGGAATATACTCTTTTTGGTTCTGCTGAACTTCATGGTGGTTTTGAGGATTATCAACTATGATGGCCTTCTATCTTGCCAGTCAGCGATGGGTTGTCAAAGCCCCACTTCATGATGCCTCTGATTCTTCCTGAAGATCTGAGTTCAGAAAGAGGTACTGGTGGATTCCTTTTCAATGCTTTCATTGTCGGTTTTCAGTGTCCCTCAAGGTTTCATCATTTTGTTTGCAACTGAGTTGCTTCTTTGTATCAATGTGGTTTTAAATTTTATATTTTAATTGAATTAATTGTTGGTGGATTTTTACTATTGATGGCTGCTTTGATTGTCATTTTTTTTGGCAGAAGGCAAGATAGAAATTTAATAAAGGGAAAAATAAGCATTTCCTTTAGTTTAGGTTCATGTACAGGTTTTTGTATTTGTTAAAAAAAATAATGAAGACTACGCAAATGTATTAGAGTATTTACCAGACGTATTTTAGAGTTATAATCCACTAAGATACCATTGGCATTGTTCTCAATAATTATATGAAATAAAATTATTAACTCCTTTCAATTTTACTCCAGACTTTCAACTGCAGAACAGATAATGGAACCTTGAAATACATGCTTTTAGAAGATTCTAGTATTTCACAAAGGAAATTGTCACAAAGGATTAGAATTCCTTTTTATAAAGCTTTTCAGTATGTGGGTAAGTCAAAGTGGAATCCTGCCTATTCTTTTTATACAAAAAGAATTTGATAAATGTCTTGAAGCAGCCTAGAGAATGTTAAAAGCTTTGTGTATATGAATGTTTTGATCCCTGTAAAGAATTAATTAATTCATCACCACCATTCACATCATGCTGAGCCCTTCCAAATGCACGCCTCTCTCCACTAGTTTTTGTTAAATCTAACTTCCTGCTGCTTCAGTTGAAGGATGTTATGTTTTTACTACTTATATATACAGTATATCCTTGTGTGTATTTCTCTCTTTCTCTCTGTTATATGTCATCGTATGTCATCTGGAATTGACTTGTAGCAACTGTAACAGGATTTTCAAGGTTAGATATTTAACAACTGGTTTATTAGTTCCACACCCCCTGCACTGTGAGTTTCCATGACTGATCAGCGATTTGAGCCTAGCTCCCAGAAAAGGTAGTCCACCACTCTATCCACACTGAATACCACATATTCTCAGAGTCCTCATTATGTTATTTTCAAAATCTTATGTTTTGAATATATACACATTTGGATGTAACCCTGTCTACCCTGCCTTTTCTCTATTTCTGTCAATGTGTGAATTGGATAGATGCACGGCAGTTACATGATACTCGCCATGCCAGAGAAAAGGGTTATTTTGAATGCTGTGTTTGTCGTGCATCCTGAAATTTTCTTGTGTAGATGATGTCAGATAAATACCTTATAACGTGGAGCTGAACTGATGTAATCCCTCACTGTGTCAATTTAGACAAAAAGTTAGTCCTCCATTGATATTATGATAAGAAGGTTGGTTAGCTTTGCACACTTTCCCTCCCCTCTTTTTCTCCAGAATGGTTGTCCACAAACAATCTGAATACCCTACTTAGATTTGAGACTAAGTAAAGATTCTGTTATGCTCCAATGCGGGAAACTATGATTAATTAACCATTTGGGACCGCGGGTCACCACAAGCCAGAATTTACATGCTGGCATACTATTATTTTAGGAAACTATGATTAATTAACTATTTGGGACCGCGAGTCACCACAAGCCAGAATTTACATGATGGCATATTATTATTATTCTGAAAGTATGTTTTATGAAACCAAAACAGACAAGCTACAATTCCACATAATCACACATTATAAGGCTCTGTGGTTACACAGAATGAGGGAGTAGATATTTCAGATGACTTTCATGTCCACCAAAGAGGAAAACCCAAAGAAGGGAGAGCCCAAGTCCAATTTCCTCACAGCTCATACACAAAAGCCTAAACAATGGTTTAGCATTATTTCTGTATAGGCCCTTAAGCATTACTCTAGCCACATCAGAGCTGCTTCTCCATGACCAACTCTTGCACTGCTGTGTTTCATGCGATATATTTTGATAGTTATAATGATGATTTTATATGATTATATTTTATGATGTTTTATAACTGTTTGTAAGCCACCCCGAGTAGACTCTGTCTAGAGGGGCAGGGTAGAAGTCAAAAAACAAACAAACAAACAAACAAACAAATTTATATGACCCAATCTCTAGCTGGGTTGATTTAGTCAAGGATGTACACCTTTCTTTGTCTTGCTCTTGTGCACAAGCATGAGAATTGTACTTTTCTTATCTTCATTTGTGAGGTGGTGAGATATTTTCCATTGATTTAAATGAAAGCTTTCACTTGTGCAAGATTTATATTTGCACATTTTGTGCCAGTATTGTAGCTACACTATGACCAAATGTGTTAATGTTTAAAAATTAGAAGCACTAGATGAATGATTTGTGTCTCAATTTGGATCAATCACCCAGTCCTTCTCTGCTTGCTGAGAGAATGTTCTTCATTTCAGAAAGGTGAAAAGCAGTTTTGCACAGATGACAGAGATCTCAACTGGAAAAAAACACACAACTGATTTTTGCACTGTAAGTGGGGAAATCTTGTCAGGGGCTAACAAGCCCCTTGATAGACGATCTGCCTCATTAAGAACAAATGATCCAGTGAGATTTCATCCTATCCCTCTCAGCCACATTGATGGGGAGCAGGAGCCTACTGCAATGATGTTAAGCATGGCATCATTCAACTGTTGGGTGTGTCTTCTTGATTCCACAATCCTGCTTTCTACATCCATCAGGTGGTTTATTTCAGTGGTAATCCAAACACACAGGAGTTCCACATGGATGTCAAGGGCAAATGAATGGCATTTAAGCAGCCTTCACACATTGCATCAAACAGGTAACTTAGACAAAGTTAAGATGTAGCAATTTCCAGTCATTTATAAACCGCCATTTTTTTAAAAAAGGCATGAAATTCAGTTTGGTTTAGAAAAGACCACATAACAAATAACTCCTCCTCTTTCTTTACTCAACCACTTGATGTATATCGATTGCTCTTGTTATAGGCAAGCAAACTACTGACCTGCAATAAAAAGTTCTTCCAGGGCCGTCAACACATTTACCTCCATTGAAACAGAGAGATGAGTTCAGAAGAGGTTCAGTGCAAACATCAATATCCACTTCACAAAATTCACCAGTGTATCCGCTCAAGCAAGTGCACTCAAATGCATTGACCAAATCTTGACAAGAACCACCATTAAGACAGGGAGTAGATTCACATTCCTGAAGAGATAAATGACAATAAATTGATTGAGCCTTAGCAGTATAATATTGCTTCCTATGAACAGATCTCTGCACTTCACTCAAGATACTGAGAAATATGGTCTTCCTCAATAAAACACTTTTTGCTTAACTTTAGGTACCGAAATAGAGCCACTGATCTTAAACAAGTAAGAAGTTATCAATTTTTATTGCATGGATCTTGGCAAGAATGGAGGATTAATCTCTTGGAGGATGGAATACATAAATAGTGAGGCTTGTTTGTCTCTTTCTTTCTAGTCAATTGAAAGAAAAGCTAAGTAAAGCTTTATGCATGGCAACAAAAGCTTGCTATTCGCAGGTAACCAGCGGTTTCATTCAGTGGAAAGTGATTTCGGTCTGCACTGCATGAACACTATGTGGCACTGATTAGACCTACTCTGGAGATTATTATGCATTATTCTTATGAGCATTCAAATTCCATTTTGGAAATGATACATAGTTTACAATCAGCTGTTACAGAACAGAACACATGTGGTGAAATCCAATTGTTAGTTCCAACTAGTGTCAGCCTTCAGTATAACTTGATCATAACTTGACAGTTAAGCAACTGCATTGATTTTTCTGGTTCTCTTTAACTGGGACTAGCACTTGGGTTTAGACTATTGCCCAAATTGGTGGATTCAGGGGTTTAGAGATAGGATCTTCATAACAGACTCTATCTGATTCCATTGGCAGCATCCACTCTAGCCAACAGATCTGTTTGCAGAAGACTGAAACCACCATCTGCTGAAGAATGAAACTGTATTTGGATTTTTTTTTTTTTTGCTGGGTCAGGGCAAGAGTTAACCAAGGAAAGAGATAAAAATGAATATCAGCATTGCAAATATTTTAAGGAGAATAAAACTTCAAAATTAATATCCATACTGGAGAGCTATATAGATTTTCTTCCAGCGAGCTGGTATTTACTCATTTATTAATGCAGCAGATTCACTCCAAACAGCTTTGTTTGGCATGCTATGGGGCTTTGGCGCAGCCAGCAGGGATTTGTGGTCTGTTGTGAATAGGAGGAGAAAATTAAGGCCAATGTCCAGGCATCGTTTATGGAGTATTAAAATATGTAGGAAATTATTATGTGGGAGTTTATTATTCTTATTAGGGTTTTATTATTGTATTCATAATGAAAACTATGTTGTGGAAGTACTGAGAGCAGAGGACATTTTACCAAAGTTAAAAGCAATGTAACAAATTCTGCATATAACAAGACTCTATAGATCAGATTAGTATATTAATGGAAAATTAAAAAATGGCTTCCTGTTCTAATCACTAATCTTTCAAGTCATATAGACTTACTAATAGTGACATAATAAGAATGTTGCAAATGTACTTTCATTCTCCCAGAGCATTAGTCATAGTGCTTGATTTTATTTTATTTTTTCAGTTATCTTGTTTAGTCCAAAATTATGTGACATGTGAAGACTGTGAGCATTCAAAGAAAAAGGCAAGGCTATAGAAATATTCATTCATAAGCTAGGAGTGTGGCATATGGCTACTTATTTGCTCAATTGTTTAATTTATATACCACCTGATTAGTGAATTCACACTACTCTGGGTGGAATACATACAGGCAAAACCCTACAACCACCATCCACTTCATTCTCATAATAACCATCAAAATGGCACTATAACCAACTTGAGTATGGTTTGCAGAAAACCTAAACATGAAATGTTAAATATCTGTGAACATTTCAGTCATCCAGGTGTGGTTATCTGGAAGTTGAGTCATGACAACTGGACTTCTTTCTTGTTAGGTTGAAATGTTTCGCTACTCATCCGACCTAACAAGACAGAAGTCCAATTGTGATGAGTCAATTTCTAGATCAAACGTTAAAATTAACATCATTTGAGGGTATGATGTTTTTAATGGCTGCCTTATATCATTCTGCCTTGAGTAATTTCTTGAATATTGGGAGGAATGAAGCCTGATGCACCTCGACTGGCAATTTGTTCCACAATGTAGGGGCTATTACATCTTACAATGTGGTTGAAATCTCAATGTATAGTCCTAACCTTAAAAAAAAATCCTGCACCTAATCCAAAAAAAATGCAAGCAATGGCAGACAGGACACTGTCTGCTGCGGCATCCAGACAGTAAAAACCTTCTGTCTTTTTCTTAATAGATTGAATCTCTTGGGGAGAAACAGAGCATCCAGAAACTTGCATCTCCTACTTGTAACAAGTGACAAATATTGTGAAGGACCATCACTGGATGCCTCAAGTTACAGTGAAACACCATGTATAGGGTGGGGTCCCAAGGAGCATCTATTTTGCCACCATGCTTAACATCCAAGTGTTTCCCATTGAGGGCATGCGTTGGGCAATGTTCAGAGTGCCATATCAGAACTATGGACGCTTAGTCCTAATCACCTAACGAATCAGCTCACTGAATGACATCAGGGCTGGAAATGGCATTCAGCTGCACATAAATTAGCAGTTTCTTGCTAAGAAGGGAAATATTAGAGTCTTGTTTTAAAGATAAGGTGGGGATTCTTGTTAGGCCCATTTTCTCATGCCGCTAGCTAATTTCACTTCAATGCAAATACCGGAATTCAAAGGGAATCATGTGGATAACATGAGCAACAAGGAAAACAATGTGCTTCCTCTGTGGGCACTCCAACTCCAAGAATGATTTATTAGAAACCATTCTACATAGTAATTGAATTATGTATCCCAAAGGAAGAACGGGCTGTTTTATACAGTACCAAAGAAACTAACCTAAGGTTAGCAAATTAATCTTTCACTAAATTCATTAAAATACCTAAAGGAATAGACCAAATCAATAATAGGAAAAAAAAAGGCCAGTCTCCTGTTTCAAGTTAATGGTGCTCTGTTCTTGTGTACTAAAAAAGGTGGCTGTTTCCAATTCTTTACACTCAGCATCCTACAGCTTGTTAGTACTTCAAACTATTCTTGTAGCTTTGTTCTCTTTATATTCTGTACAAAATTTATGGGGAACAGATCAACCTAAAATAATAGTTCATTGGAGAAAGCATAAAAATCATTGAGAAGTATCAAAGTTATATATGAAGCTGAGAATAAAAACTGGCATTCAATGCAGGAGCAGAATTCAAACTGCATTCATATCAAACTTCGAATGACTGGATCAATGTGCCGGGAGCATTACATCAGGCATTGGTTGGTCAAGATTTTGAGTTTTCTTGATGAATTTCGGAAACTTACAAACTTGCTGTTGACTTCCAAAATTTCAACCATTATTGGGAAACAACAAAATATAGTCAAATATGACGGGAGATGTATGGAGTGGGATGCAACCCTAGTAAAGGACATTGAAGTCTCACTGATTCTAAAAAGGAAAGTATGCACCAAATACTTTTTCAGTTATCAATATAACTCAATTGTTTTTCATTTTGGCTATACAACATTATTAACTCTTGCACCATCTCCTGCAAGATGGCTATGACATTCCATGTTGTGAAAGGAAGCTACAAGGCTTTCTTTTCCATTCCCCTCTGCAGCCCCCACACCCTGAAATCTGCTTCTTCAATTGAATGACATATGGCTTCAGTCAGCAGATATTTGCATACAGTTGTATAAATAGGTGCCTACTGATGGTACACTGCATACATCTGAAAAACCAGGTGGCCATCCACCAACATTTGTGCCAAGCAAACCAATTACATTTTCAGATGCCATGAGACGTTTGTGTCTATTCCTCAGCATTCTCTTAACATATTTCAACAGCTTTTCCTCTTAGTGTGTACTTGAGGTGCGTGTGTGCTAGGAAAACTTTTAACTTTTGGTTCATTTGGCTGATTGAATGCCGTTTTGCATTTTGAGGGATCTTTTTGAAACTCTCAGACAGCTTGATTTTTTCAGTCAGATCAGATCAAAGGTTTATGCAGTCAATATTCTCTCCACACAGTCAGTTGCCACTGAGGAAACCCACCAGGAGAATATGACTGCAATATTTCATTCTGCATATTATGTTCCCCAGCAGACATACTACCTGTGGTACTGGAGGTGAGACATAGCTATCATGATTAGCAGTCACGACTACCCATGATGTCTGTGTTTCTACACCTCTTTTAAAGGCATCCACATTGGCAGCTGTCACTATGACTTGTGACAATGAATTTCCACTTTGCCCAGGCCATGCAGCCTTCTAAACATTTTCGTTATGTCTCTTCCTTGCCTTTCTCCTAAATTAAACTGTGCAGTCTTTTGTCACAGGGAAGGGGATCCAATTCCTTTTTCGTTTTGGTTTCCCTTTTCTGCACTTTATCCAGCTCAACCCCTTCCTGAGTGTGGCGATCAGAATACCAACCAAGGATCTGCACTGTTCACCTGTATAATCACCATATATGATATTTTTCATTCATGTCCCAATTATGCCCATTCATATAATTGAGCTATTTTAAAACCAGCAATACACTGAAGAGATTAACATTTCCCTCAAACTCTGTATCAAACCCAAGATCTGTTTCTTAATCAGTTGGTGGCAGCGTAAACCCTTCAGTGTATATGCAACGCTGGGATTTTTCATCGCATTAAGTATTGCTTTATACTTTATGCACTGAATTTTGCCATTTTAAAGCCGATAGATGATTCTGGATGTGATGGTTGTTGTGGGTTTTTCAGGCTCTTTGGCCGTGTTTTGAAGGTTGTTCTTCCTAACGTTTTGCAAGTCTCTGTGGCTGGCATCTTCAGAGGACTGGAGTAGGAGCTCTGTGCTTTGTCTTCTGAAGATGCTGGCCACAGAGACTGGTGAAACGTCAGGAAGAACAACCTTCAGAACATGGCCAAAGAGCCTGAAAAACCCACAACAACCATCAGATCCTGGCTGTGAAAGCATTCGAGAATAGATTCTGGATGTCTTTGTAGTCTGTTTTTGTTCTTTCCACAAAACTTAGATAAGTAAATTAGTAACCAGTAAACATGGCCACTACACCACCTACCCCAAATTCTATGTCTTATGTGAGGAGATTCTCTGCACCTCAGCCTTGGGAAACATGTGTTACACATTTTCTTTTGAGAATATTTGGCCCTTTTTTGTACAGGGCAACATATGCTTGTAACTTGTGCTGTTAAGGTGGTGACTAGAGATGAGTACAAACCACACGTCGGTGCAGCTCAGCAGTTCAGGCCCACAAG